TATTAAATATATTTATATCTTAAGTAAAATTAATTTACCGGTCATTAAATACAATAAAAATTAAAAAGTTAACGTTTAATCGCCTTTCGTTACGGCAAAAACCAACAAAAATATAGTTTATTAGTTTTCCCTATATATCTAATACGATCCCGGATCCCGGGCGTCCCGGATCCCGGATCCCGGGATTTTCCCCCCACCCGGAGACTGGACGTATTTGAAGCCAATCGGAACACCTCGGCTATTGTTGAGTGATAGAAAGGCACGAGAAAATGTGAGAGCAGAGTGACGATAATTTGATTACGTCCAATTAATCATTAGAATCCATTATTGATTAATTTGAGAAGAATTTTTTAAACAACTATTCTATTTGTGAAGTAAGTACTGAATATGTTTGGGAAACCTCGGCCCCAAATTCATTCGCCCCAAGTCATGTCGACCCTACAGGCTACAGTATTATAAGTCAGTATACCAAAGTCTAGTTCTGGCTTCCATAACTTTATATGTCACTTGTATTTTGACGTGCAAAATGTCTAGCAGTACTATAGCTAAAGAGACTTCAGCAAACAGGTTTTATCTGTTTATAGTACTGCTACTGTTGCACAACATCAAAATAAAAGCGATGTAAAGTTATGGATACCAGTTCTAACTAACAGCACTGTAAAACCAGTTTGCTGAAGTCTCTTTAGCTAACCATAGTCTTGTCCTATACTGTAAATATGACGTCGCTTTGATAGATTTTTGCTACTGGGCAAAGCAACTTGCTTGACCGACTTAAACTATAACAAGCCCGTAACGTCTGCATCTGCGCAGTCTGATCAGGATCCATGCTGTTTGCTTACAAACCCTATTACAAATAGAGAAACTGATAGCGAACAGCATGGATCCTGATCAGACTGCACGGATGCGCAGGCTGGTCTGGATCCATGCTGGTCGCAAACCCATTATGTTGGTTTTGTCACGCGGCTCATATATCTGCTGAGCCAATTAAGCTATGTTTGGACGTTTAGATATGAAAATGTGTCTTATAATTAAAGAAAAACAAAAGAAACATGCAATTTTAAAAGGTTGACTGTTCATTACGATTAATGAAATATCAAACTTGAAAAATTACGTTAAAATTGCAAGGTCAGCATGATTTGTGCCATCCTCTGTAAGCAAACATACGTTTGGGCTTAGCTGCTTGCCATTCATAAAAGTATTCCAACATGGTTAAAACATCGAATTTTATCTGAATTGTCAAATGGCAGAAGTATGAATTTTAAAATGAAAATTTACAATAAAATGTAAGAAAACGTATACATAAGTTTTAATTAAGACACATTTTCTGGATGAATACTCAAATACCAAAATCAGTTTTTGTTTACATCCTTAATTTATGTAGCAATAAAAATGTCCAAAATATTTATTAATACTATCTGATGTACATGTATTTTCAGATTATTCAAGCCAAGTGATCATTATCATATATTGTCACAGTCATGACTTTGAAGAAAAATTTAATTGGCAGACGAGCAAAGCGATATCGTCAAGAAAAGAGGAAAACAAACAAAAGAACAAATGGTATTGCAGAAGACCTCTTGTCTAAACCTCTCGGTGATAGTTTCTTTATTGCAACAGATTCTACAGAGTGTGAGGAAACACCTGTAGTAGGTCAGGAGTACATTGACAGTGATGGAGCTCAAGCAGACGAGTTCTTTGTTATTCTTGACAAGCCGTACAGATACAGTCCTGATATTGATCTTGATGACTTTGTTGCAAAAGTCAACTTATATATATTTAATAAATTACGCCAGAACTGTAAAATGCTTATAACAAATGAGTTTACATACATGGAATCATCAAATGACTTAAAATTCATACAGTTGTATGACAGTGACAAATATTGGGACTCTCCACGAGTGAAAACTTGTGTTTGTGTAGGACGAGACTTCAAAATTCACATAAGTGTTCATGGTATAAAGATTCCAGACTATCATTTGATATGGGTTTCTATGGGTCGATACTGTAATTCAGTAAAAGGTGTGCATTATGTGCTAGAACAGGTTCAGAAATATGACATATGTTGTGGGAACCAGGACAGTGAATTACAGGATTTGATTCCTGTTGGTACCTTGTTTGATGTAAAAAATGACTACAAGTTTCAAGGGTTCAAGGAATCATTTTACATTGGTAGCACTATAAGGTGCACAAAGTGTAGTCTGCTCATAAACACTAAAACAAGTACTCGATGTGAAAACTGTAACACATACAGGCGGACCTTAAGAAAAACATTGTCAAGACGGCAAAACACTCCGGAATTACCTCCACATGAAAAGGATTGGATGAAGTCAAAGGCTCCCGACTCTAAATTGACAGGAAATCAAATGTTTTACAAAGTAAAACAATTAAAACAATATTCGAGTCAGCTTGAAAAAGAGGTAGCAAGACTGAAACAGGAAGCGAAAAAAAAGAAAACTGTCACGAAAGGTGTAGTGTTGAGTGATCGTGAAGTGAATGAAATTATAGACTTGATGGAAAATTCAGAAAGGGAGGTTTATCATAGTAATCCTGATGAAAACTCTGGGGATTTGTGGGAATAGGGAGAGCATTTAACTTCAACAAAATAAGCATGGCGTGAGATGGCTTCCTGCCATTATTAAATGGTGCAAGTTTTTTAAAACATAGGTAATCTACCATTTATGATACATGTATGTGAAGAAACTCTAAATTTGTGGGGATTATCATTGGATAATCACTTTACTAATGTAACAAAAAAGAACAGGCTCCCAAGCTAGCATTGTGGATAAATAAATCGAACAGCGTGCAAACAGAGTAATTTTGAAATATATTTTAATGAAATTTAAGTACACTGTACTATTCATGTACCGGTAAATGGAATATCACATGGATTGTATAAATTATACTATAAAAATATCTGCAATGGATAATTTTGCAATCGTTCTATAGCTCTGTGAATGGTTAATTTGATGGGAAGCGCTCTCATCAATATGATTATAAATTACTTTTTATATACAATGTACATGTGTTCGCAAGTATCTTCAATTGACATGGTAATCAGAATTATTATCCCTAGCGGATAAAGTTGAAAGTGGGATGATGCTAGTAGTAATGGCACATGTGGGTTTTTCCTACCTAACCTTAGGGTACAAACAAACTTTTACCTCTTTGGCTTCACAGTGCACAACTGCTCTCATGGAATGGTTAATGAGTAATATACTAATTTTCGATATATTTACCAAATGGTAACTGTAAAAAATTTGTTTGTACTCCAGGATTAATAGCTGGGAAAAACCAACATTTGCCAAGTGCCAGCGTACAAATGTATTTTAAAAACTAAGCAAGCATGTATAAAAATAGTAAGGAAATGATGTTTTTTATGCCACCGCAGCATCTGCGATGCGGTGGCATATAGCGATTCACCTGTGTGTATGTGTGTGTGTGTGTTTGTTTGTTTGTTTGTTTGTGTGTGTGTGTGTGTGTTATATAGATTATATAGTGAACTTAAAAAAATCTTCTTGTGAAAAACCACTAGTCCAATTTCAACCAAACTTGGCAGGATTGATCCTTGGGTGAAGGGGTTCAAAAGTTGTTCAAAGAATTTCATTCCATGCAGAAATCTGGTTGCCATGGCAACCAAAAGGAATTATAAGAATAAATTAAAAAAATCTTCTTGTAAAGACCCAAAAGGCCTAGAGCTTAGATATTTTGCATAAGGCATTGTCTGGTAGACCTCTACCAAGATTGTTCAAATTATAGCCCTGGGGTCAAAATCAGCCCCGCCCCGGGGGTCATTGATTTTCACTATATGTACATATAGTAAAAACTTAAAATACCTTCTTGTAAAGACCCAAAAGGCCTAGAGCTTAGATATTTTGCATAAGGCATTGTCTGGTAGACCCTTACCAAGATTGTTCAAATTATAGCCCTGGGGTCAAAATCGGCCCCGCCCCGGGGGTCATTGATTTTCACTATATGTACATATAGTAAAAACTTAAAATACCTTCTTGTAAAGACCCAAAAGGCCTAGAGCTTAGATATTTTGCATAAGGCATTGTCTGGTAGACCTCTACCCAGATTGTTCAAATTATAGCCCTGGGGTCAAAATCGGCCCCGCCCGGGGGTCATTGGTTTTCCTTATATGTATATAGTAAAAACTTATAGTAAAAACTTTAAAAAAATTTCTTCTCGCAATTGACAAATGCTAGAGGTTAGATATTTTGCATGAAACATTGTGAAGTGAACTTCTAGCAAGATTGTTCAAATTATAGCCCTGGGGTCAAAATTGCCCCCGCCCCGGGGGTCATTGATTTTCAGTATATATATATAATAAAAAATCTTATTGTCTGAAGGTACAAAGCTTAGAGCTTTAATATTTGTTAAATGATATCATCTATAGGAACTCTACCAAAGTTGTTCAAATTTTGTGTCAAAATTAGCCCCGCCCCGGGGGCCATAGGTTTTCCTTATATGTATATTGTAAAAAATTTAAAAAATCATCTTCTTTAAATTTACAAAGACTAGAGTTAAGATATTTTGCATGAAACATTATGTAGTGAACCTCTAGCAAGATTGTACAAATTATAGCCCTAGGGTCAAAATTGGCCCAACCCCCAGGGGTCATTGATTTCACTATGTACATAGAGTAAAAAATTAAAAAATCCTCTTGTCTGACGGTACAAGGCTTAGAGCTCTGATATTTGGTATATAATATCATCTATGGGTCCTCTACTAAAGTTGTTTTAATTATGCCCCTAGTGTTAAAATTGCCCTGCCCCAGAGGTGATAGTTTTCCTTATATGATTGAATAAAGTGAAAACTTGAAAAATCTTCTTCTCTGAATTGAAAAATCTTTTTCTCTGAATTGACAAAGGCTAGAGGTTAAATATATGGCATGAGACTTTGCAAAGTGAACCTTTACCAAAATTGTTCAAATTATAGCCCTGGGGTCAAAATAAAAAATATTTTTGTCTGAAGGCACAAGGCATAGAGCTTGGATGTTTGCTATATAATATCATCTATAGGTCCTCTACCAAAGTTGTTCAAATTTTTCCCCTGGTGTCAAAATTGGCCCTGCCAGGGGGCAGTGATTCTCATTATGTACACATAGTAAAAACAGAAAATAAAACAAATGTTTTCTGAATGGGAGAAAGCTACAGCTTAGATATTTGACTTGCAATTTTGTTTGGTGGACCTGTGTCAAGATTGTTTTGAATTAAACCCTTGGATCCAAAATTTTGCCTTGCCCAAGGGGACAGTGACCTACTTTCTTGTCCTTTGATGTACAGCAATGAAATTTTGACCATGTGCACAGTTATAGTTGTAAAATTGAACTTTGATATCAGGTGACCTAGATTTTGATGATGTGACCTACTTTCTTGTCCTTTGATGTACAGCTATGAAATTTGCACCATGTGCACAGATTAAGATGTAAAGTGAACTTTGATTTCAGCTGACCTAGATTTTGACAAAGTGTCTTACTGTGTTGTCCTTTTGATGTAGTCATGAAATTTAGGCTGTGTGAAATATGACCTTCACCACCAAATTCACTAGTCTCGAGTGCATTGATATATTCCTACTCTGATCTTTTATTGAGTTAACAACAGATTTAACCACAAATCTGATAATAAGAATAAGATAGGTCAGGGATCTATGCATTATGACAATCTTCAAAATTGTATAGAAACAAAAAAAATCTGTTACTACACTACTATTTAGTGTTGTATTAATGCGGTGGCATAGCATTTTTCTCAAATGCAATCTTGTTTTTATTATGAAAATCAATCTGGATGTGCATTTTTATGTTATGGTCCTTTGTTTCCTCAAAAAAGGCATTAAAATTTACAAGTGTTTCATTAGATTGTAGTGAAACTGCAAAATGTATAATATAATACAAAGGAAATCTTACATCAAATCTGAATGCGCATTAGCGAGTTATGACCCTTTGTTATTTAAAAGGGCATTTTTATATCCCGCCACATAATGTCAATGTGAAGGGGGCTGTACTTGTCACTTTGGTCAGCCCGTCAGTCACCATTGTGACTGTTCTATAAATTCTATTTACCTTTTGTTGAGCTCAAATATTCACCTCAACAAGAGAATTTGCAGAGCCCATTCAACTGCTGTGCTGGGTCAAGGTCAAATTGGAGATCAAATGTAAGACAATATTGTGTCTGCTCTATAAATCCTATTTATTGAAGATTTTAATCAAAGTTGGCTCAGATGTTCTCCTCAACAAGTTGGTGTGCAGAATCCATGCAGACTCAAGGTCATTGTTGGATGTCAGATAATTTTGTGTCTGCTATTTATATGCTATACCAATACAAGGTTTTTCTTTAAATTTGGCTTTAAATGCTCACCTCAACAAGCCATTGTGCAGAAGCCATGCTGACATTGTCAAGTCAAATGTCACACAATTTCATGTCCACTCTGTAATCCTGTACCCCTTGAAGGATTCTCTAGCTTCAAACTTGGCTGAATTATCCATGCAGCTGCTGTGCAGGCTCAATGTCACCCTTGAAGGTCAAATGTCTGACAATTTGTGTTGCTTTATAAATCCTTTATTAGTTGACCATTTGAAGGATTTTCTTTATATTGGCTCATTAATATTAATCGCAACAAGGAAACCTGCAAAGCCCATGCTGCCATGGTGGAGGCTCAAGGTTAAGGTAACACCTGATTAGGTTTAAAAATCATGTAATTTTAAAATGATTTTTTTGGGAACTAAACTCAAAATTTAAACAAGAGGGCCATGATGGCCCTTAGGTCGCTCACCTGTATAGGCCCCCCCCCAACGTTGCAGCGCCAATTTAACCCAAGGGCTTTTATTTGCACAAACTTTGTAGACACCCATAAGAAGATGTTTCATGCTAAACATCTAAGCTCTAGCTCATTGGGCTTTTTAAAAGAAGATTTTTTTTAAGTTTTTACTATACACATATAGTTAAAAACAATGACACCCCTTGGGCCGGGCCAGTTTTGACCCCAGGGCTTTTATTTGAACAAACTTTGTAGACACTTACTAGAAGATGTTTCATGCTTAATATCTTAACTCTAGCTATTTGGGTTTTTTCAAAGAAGATTTTAAGTTTTTGCTATACACATAGAAAGAAAATCAATGAACCCCGGGGTGGGGCCAATTTTGACCCCAGGTCTTTTATTTGAACAAACTTTGTAGACACTCACTAAAAGATGTTTCATGCTTAATATCTTAACTCTAGCTATTTGGGTTTTTTCAAAGAAGATTTTTTAAGTTTTTGCTATACACATATAAGGAAAATCAATGACCCCCTGGGCGGTGCCAATTTTGACCCCAGGGCTTTTATTTGAACAAACTTGGTAGACACCTATGAGAACATGTTTGATGCTAAATATCTTAGCCATAGCTCTTTGAGTTCTTTAAAAGAAGATTTTTTAGGTTTTTACAATGTGCATATAGGGAAAATCAATGACCCCCTGGGGCGGGGCCAATTTTGACCCCAGGGCTTTTATTTGAACAAACTTGGTAGACACTTATTAGAACATGTTTCATGCTAAATATCTTAGCTCTAACTCTTTTGGTTCTTTAAAAGAAGATTTTTTAAGTTTTTACTATATGCATATAGGGAAAATCAATGACCCCCTGCGTCGGGGCCATTTTGACCCCAGGGCTTTTATTTGAACAAACTTGGTAGACACCTATTAGAACATGTTTGATGCTCAATATCTTAGCCATAGCTCTTTGAGTTCTTTAAAAGAAGATTTTTTAAGTTTTTACTATATGCATATAGGGAAAATCAATGACCCCCGGTCGAACAAACTTGGTAGACACTCACTAGAAGATGTTTCATGCCAAATATCTAAGCTCTAGCTCTTATGGTTTTTTAAAAGAAGATATTTAAAGTTTTTTCTTTCGGTTGCCATGGCAACCAGAGATCTGCATGGAATTAAATTCTTTGAACAATTTTTAAAGGTGACCACCAAAGGAACATTCCTGTGAAGTTTGGATGAAATTGGCTTAGTGGTTTATGATGAGATGTCATTTAAAGTAAAAGTTTACGGACGGACGACGGACGAAAAGCGATCACAAAAGCTCACCCTGTCACTTTGTGACAGGTGAGCTAAAAATAATGATAAATTGCACTACATAACATCCTGTGTCTAAGAGATAAAGTGGGGATATCCCTCACTCCTGTGGCAACACTAAATGCAGTTTTAGGTAGAATTTCCATTTTGAGCCAAATTTTACAAGAGATTGGTTTGTAATTAAACTCAGAAATTATGTATTAAATGGAAAGATATGATATTTATTATTACTTTTAAATATCTCATTGTGTTTGAATTTTTGAGTAATGGCCTTTGTAATTTTAAGTCTAAAGGAAAGTTAGCCTTAGCCTATCTGAAAATGCTGAATATGTCTTGGTATTTGTATTTCAGTAAGGATAGTATTCATATCAAATTTCATCAAAATGTTTGTTGTTGCTCTTTTTATTGAATTACAAATGTATGTCCCTTTATGGTTAAGAAAATGGCCAATTATTTTTGTAAGAAAAAAAATCTGGCCATAACCAGGTTCTGAACTGCTTTGATGTGATTTTATCTTTGATGTGATTTTATCAAAATTGTTAAGAAAAAATAGTTTCAAAAGCAAAAATTTATGTAAAGAACTGAAAAATTTAAGAAATTACCTCCCTTTTATAATATACCACATTTATGCTACACAATTAAAAACACATCTTTTTTGAAATTGTATGTATTTGTTCTGTTCTATAATTTGATACTTATGTTTACCCTAAATAAATGACCTTACTCATTTTCACAGTAATATCTTTTTAATGTCAGTTTATATCTTTACTTGACAATTTCACGGACATTGTCTTTGGACCTCTTACTGATCAATATCTTAGACATTCTGAAGGCAAGACATTTTGTGATTTAAATATTCTGAAGGCAGAGTCAATAAAAACTATTTTAAAATACCTTACTGTTTGATCTGTTGTTTTCCCCCCCAAGTTGAACAAAAGCATCATACGATAGCTTTACCCATCTACATTTCAAAGCGCTATTAAATAACTCTATTAATGGGAAAACCTCGAGACATTTCCATAAAAATACACATTAGTCTTAAGCTCACTTTAGCTGCTTTCAGAATTATTGAAAAGAAAAATAACAACTTAGATTAATATTTCTAAAAATTTATAAAAATATAGGTAATAGGTAATCAAAATACTTGGAGCTCATTATTGATTCCAACTTAAAACATTTAGTCTTTAATACTCTAGTGGTCACATTTTTCGAGATGACCCATGTTGACTTACATCCTGACCAAGTTTGGTGACAACGGAGACAGTAATGTGACCACTAGTGTTAATGAACTAATGTGGACAGGTAACGAACATTCAACAATCCTAAAAGCTCACAGAGCCAGCTCATGTGAGCTAAAAAGAACATTTAATTTTCTAAGATGATAAATTTAGAGCAAAAACACAGCATCAGATATCTTATACCAAATAAGCAGCAAACTACTTTTTATACAGGTCGTATTATAGTTTCTCCCCTAAAGGACGGCGTCCAATTTTTGTCCAGAGCATATCTCCTACACGCATTGAGGACTTGTAATGTAACTTCATAGAAATGTTCATCACTGTGAGAAGCTGTGTCATGCACATGAATCAGTCACATTTATGTCCTTGAAAAACGCTTGTCCAGAGCAAAACTTCTACAGGCATAGAGGGATTTCATTATAACTTGGCACAAATGTTCACCATTGCAAGGCGGAATGTCGTGTGCAAAATTTAGGTCTGTGCGGCCAAGGTCACACATAGGGGTCCAAGTTCAGATAAAAATGTGTATTGGGACCATTTAGTCATCATTTCTTAAAGATCCTGTATGTTTTGTGATTGATATTGTTACTGTGTGTATACCACACTTGCAAAAAGTTATATATGTATATAATTATGCAAATAAAACGATTTTCAAACATCAAAGAAATGAATATGTAAAATGTGTACCGCAAATATTTGTGCACATTATATTTAATCAATAAATAACATGCATTCATTTCTTATTGGAAAATTTGACTTATAATTTATAGAAAATAAATTTCTTATTACTTCCCTTTATTTCCATGAAATGTTAAATTGGAAAATATCTTTATAAACAAGATATGTTTGTAAAACATGTATGCCCCCTATCAGCAGCCAATTAGTCATGTGATAAGGTTATTATGCATGACTTCTGACCCAGTGATCAAACAATTAATAAGGGTTATAAAGTATCTACTGGTCATGACCTTGACCTTTGACCCCTTGACCCAAAACTCAATAGGGGTCATCTGCTGGTCACGACCAATCATCAAACAAAGTTTGAAGTTCCTAGGCCTAGGCGTTTTTAGTAAATTGATCAGAAACCGTTTTTACCTACAAGGTCAATGTGACCTTGACCTTTGACCCCAAAATCAATAGGGGTCATCTGCTGGTCATGACCAATCACCATGCCAAGTTTGAAGTTCTTAGGCCTAAGGGTTCCATTATTATTGATCGGAAACCGTTTTAACATACAAGGTCAATGTGACCTTGACCTTTGACCCCAAAATCAATAGGGGTCATCAGCTGGTCATGACCAATCACCATGCCAAGTTTGAAGTTTCTAGGCCGAAGCGTTCTTTAGTTATTGATCAGAAACCGTTTTTACTTACAAGGTCATTGTGACCTTGACCTTTGACCCCTCGATCCCAAAATCAATAGGAGTAATCTGCTGGTCATGACAAATCACCATACCAAGTTTGAAGTTCCTAGGCCTAAGCGTTCTTGAATTATTGATCAGAAACCGTTTTTACTTAAAAGGTCAATGTGACCTTGACCTTTGACCCCTTCACCTAAAACTCAATAGGGGTCATCTGCTGGTCATGACCAATCATCACACAAATATTGAAGTTCCTAGGCCTAAGCGTTTTTAGTAAATTGATCGGAAACCGTTTTTACCTACAAGGTCAATGTGACCTTGACCTTTGACCCCTTGACCCCAAAATCAATAGGTCATCTGCTGGTCATGACCAATAACCATACCAAGTTTGAAGTTCCTAGGCATAAGGGTTCTTAAGTTATTGATCGGAAAGCATTTTTACGTACAAGGTCAATGTGACCTTGCCCTTTAACCCCTTAACCCCAAAATCAATAGGGGTCATCTGCTGGTCATGACCAATCACCATACCAAGTTTGAAGTTCCTAGGCCTAAGGGTTCTTTAGTTATTGATCGGAAACCGTTTTTACCTAAGAGGTCAATGTGACCTTGACCTTTGACCCCTAGACCCCAAAATCAATAGGGGTCATCTACTGATCATGACCAATCACCATCTCAAGTTTGAAGTCCCTAGGCCTAAGGGTTCTTTCATTATTGATCGGAAACCGTTTTTACCTACAAGGTCAATGTGACCTTGACCTTTGACCCCTTAACGCCAAAATCAATAGGGGTCATCTGATTGGTCATAACCAATCACCATACCAAGTTTGAAGTTCCTAGGCCTTAAGGTTCTTTAGTTATTGATCGGAAACCGTTTTTGCTTTCAAGGTCAATGTGACCTTGACCTTTGACCCCTTGACCCCAAAATCAATAGGGGTCATCTACTGGTCATGACCAATCACCATACCAAGTTTGAAGTTCCTAGGCCTTAAGGTTCTTTAGTTATTGATCGGAAACCGTTTTTGCTTTCAAGGTCAATGTGACCTTGACCTTTGACCCCTTGACCCCAAAATCAATAGGGGTCATCTACTGGTCATGACCAATCACCATACCAAGTTTGAAGTTCCTAGGCCTTAAGGTTCTTTAGTTATTGATCGGAAACCGTTTTTGCTTTCAAGGTCAATGTGACCTTGACCTTTGACCCCTTGACCCCAAAATCAATAGGGGTCATCTACTGGTCATGACCAATCACCATACCAAGTTTGAAGTTCCTAGGCCTAAGGGTTCTTTAGTTATCACTCGGAAACCATTTGGTCTACGGACCGACGGACCGACAAGTGCAAAGCAATATACCCCTTTTTTTCAAAATGGGGGCATAATAATGCTTATTGGAACTTGCAATATTGACAAATCTTTATTTGAGCATCATATTTATGAAATAAAACCATGAAAAAATTGTGTTACAGGATCTTTAAGGGATTGAAACACAAATTGCCATCATCACGACTACGTATTGCACACATAATACAGGTCCCTGCTACCAGTCAGGTCCAAGTTTTTGTATGGGGACCATTTAGTCATCATTTGTTGGTGGATTGTAACAAGATAACTTTCATGACATGACATGTATTTTTTTTTAAGTTTAAAAGATTTGCAAGGTCACTAGAGATGATAATATATCCAGATATTGTCCAGAGCATATCTCTTATATGGTATCTATAATGCAAACATTCCCCCCCCCCCCCCCCCCGACAGCTTTTGTGACATGAAAAAAAAAACAAGAGGGCCATGATGGCCCTGAGGTCGCTCACCTGTATATAGGCCGCCCCAACCCCCAGGGCTTTTATTTGCACAAACTTGGTAGACACCCATATAGAGGTGCGCGGTTTAACCGGTATACCGGTAAACCACGGTCCAAGACATCTGCGGTACGTACCGCGGTACAGACCTGGAAAACCGGTACTTTTAGCTCTTATTTAAAATTTAAAGCAATTACAGATCTGTAAAATGTACTAAATTAAAGAACTTTTTCTGTTGTATATGTTAATGTTTCTTTGAGTTAACCTTTTTGCAAACAACTTTCACCGACTATTATCATTCTTCGATAGTTCTTAGCAAAAATTGAATGCTTCATTGATTACCGCATGTAAGCCATAATTGTTGACTTGCATGATCTCAGTTGAAGAAGCAAGAATTGTCGACTTACATTTACTTGTCCAAATATCGCTTATTTGATACGAAAACTAATCGTAAAGATTGATAATTCATGAGGGCATTCCTTGCATAAAATTAGGGTGTTACTATTTTAAGTATTTATATAAATAGCGACCAATCAGGCTAGGGGTTTTCCTTACGTCACGCACTTACTGCATGGGCATGGCAATTAACTAATTATAGAACGGCGTAGAAACTGGATTCGTTCAACTAATGAATATTAATCAAGCAGTATCATGGTCAGCTGTTTTCTATGTGATAATTTTAATTTGCTTTTGGGGTACATGTTTGTTTTGGTGTTTGACACAGATTAATTAAATACTTAGCCCTTGCAATAAAAAAAATACAATAGCAGCTGGGACTCTGTTAAAAAATTAACCGACAAATAACTATTTGTCATCGGCAAATGTGCATTTGACCTATTATTTTATAAATCAATAAGCAATAAATATTTTATTTTTCCATTTTAACTATGCAATTTATATAACAGTTGTTAAATGTTGAAAGAGACCGAATATGTATAAAAAAACACAACAAGAACTGATACATGACCCAATTAATTTATGATTGTCAACATGCGAAAGTACCTGATTGAAAAAAATTAAATGATGCTTTGATTAATCTGTATTTTCTAGATCTGCTTAAATTTAATATTTGAAATTCTATACCAGCCTACCTTGATACTTATTTTAGGGATAAAGATTAACCTATAGCATACAATGAAAATCCGTGGTATACCACGGTTTATACCGTGGTTTTTAGGAAAAAACCGTGGTATACCGTGGTATTTTCTTTCTGGCGGTACCCAACTCTACACCCATAAGAAAATGTTTCATGCTAAACATCTAAGCTCTAGCTCATTGGGCTATTTAAAAGAAGATTTTTTTAAAGTTTTTACTATACACATATAGTTAAAAACAATGACACGCCTGGGGCCGGGCCAGTTATGACCCCAGGGTTTTTATTTGAACAAACTTTGTAGACACTTACTAGAATATGTTTCATGCTTAATATCTAAACTCTAGCTATTTGGGTTTTTTCAAAGAAGATATTAAGTTTTTGCTATACACATACAAGGAAAATCAATGACCCCGGGGCAGGGCCAATTTTGACCCCAGGTCTTTTATTTGAACAAACTTTGTAGACACTCACTAAAAGATGTTTCATGCTTAATATCTTAACTCTAGCTATTTGGGTTTTTTCAAAAAAGATTTTTTAAGTTTTTGCTATACACATATAAGGAAAATCAATGACCCCCGGGGCGGGGCCAATTTTGACCCCAGGGCTTTTATTTGAACAAACTTGGTAGACACCTATTAGAACATGTTTGATGCTAAATATCTTAACCATAGCTCTTTGAGTTCTTTAAAAGAAGATTTTTAAGTTTTTACTATATGCATATATAGGGAAAAATCAATGACCCCCCCGGGCGGGGTCAATTTTGACCCCAGGGCTTTTATTTGAACAAACTTGGTAGACACTTATTAGAACATGTTTCATGCTAAATATCTTAGCTCTAACTCTTTTGGTTCTTTAAAAGAAGATTTTTTAATATATATATATGCATAAAGGGAAAATCAATGACCCCCTGGGGCGGGGCCAATTTTGACCCCAGGGCTTTTCTTTGAACAAACTTGATAGACACCTATTAGAACATGTTTGATGCTCAATATCTTAGCCATAGCTCTTTGAGTTCTTTAAAAGAAGATTTTTTTTAAGTTTTTACTATATGCATATAGGGAAAATCAATGACCCCCCGGGGCGGGGCCAATTTTGACCCCAGTGCTTTTATTTGAACAAACTTGGTAGACACTCACTAGAAGATGTTTCATGCCAAATATCTAAGCTCTAGCTCTTATGGTTTTTTAAAAGAAGATATTTAAAGTTTTTTCTTTCGGTTGCCATAGCAACCAGAGTTCTGCATGAAATTAAATTCTTTGAACAATTTTTAAAGGTGACCACCAAAGGAACATTCCTGTGAAGTTTGGATGAAATTGGCCTTGTGGTTTATGAGGAGATGTCATTTAAAGTAAAAGTTTACGGACGACGGACGAAAGCGATCACAAAAGCTCACCCTGTCACTTTGTGACAGGTGAGCTAAAAATCCCTTCTAACATTTTGTTTCATTTACTTGAAATTCACTTATTACAAGATTGGAACAGAGACCAATATTGTAGTTTGAAAACATTGTCTTGTTCTACAGGTCTGTTTGAATTTAAAATGTTGAAAATGGACTGTCTTTAGCCTATTTTTCCTTCTTTGGGCCGTGCCACCATTTCCTGTTATGTGGAAAAAGCACCAGAAGTGAAACCCCCATGATGCTATATGTTTGCATTAATCAGGCCTGTAACAGTTGTGCCTTTGATCTTGAACCCTACATGAGCACTAAATCAACTTTTAGGATAAACTGGAAAGCTCTCATTGGGCGATGTTGGCTCAAAAGAACTAGTACAGTAAATCAGTTCTACATTTTATTTTTTTCTTCATTCATTCAACAATGAATTCAGTTAAAGTTAATAGACTTTCTGTTCCTGTCTCTGGAACTCTGCCCTCTTGTGATTTTTGGACAGGTAGTCTGTAAACTCCTGGTATGGAGATTTTGTGAAGACAGTCTCCTTCCACAGATCTGGAGTCAAGTATGCATATGTCTGGGCAATAGCTGCATAGGTGGCCTTGGCTATGAAAAGAAAAATAACTTAGATTAATATTTCTAAAAATTTCTAAAAATATAGGTAATAGGTAATCAAAATACTTGGAGCTCATTATTGATTCCAACTTAAAATCAGCCTGCAAGTATATGAAAGCCAGTAACGTCTTTATACAACATTTTCCTATAATGCATTGCTACGTTTTTCACCTTTAAAATAACAAATCTTTTAATTATTTAAGATTTTTTATTTTATTTAAATAGGGAGCACATAATTACCAAAGTTTCCAAGTGTTCCTGTACAGCCTCTGGCAGAAGTGTAACAATCTTCAATACCAGCCATATGAAGCAATTTTTTGGGTACTGGGGCACTGACAATACCTGTACCACGGGGAGCTGGGATCAGACGTACTGTTACGCTGCCACATTTACCAGTCACCTACAAAGAAATAGCAAGTTTATAAATGAAACAAAACAAATACTTTTGAACACGAAACATAATTTGTATATGTGACTAAATTCTAAATCTTCTTTTTCTTTCATGCTTTTTACCTTGCTGGTAACAGCTTTGTTCCAATAAAATCAATGTAAAAGGGTCAAATACTGTGACCCCTTAAAATACTTGTCATATACCAGTCACAGACGATACAAGTATCAATTTTGAAATTTGTATTCTTATGAACCCTAAAGAATTTTAAGAACTGCAACAATAACCTATCTTTAACAAATTAACTAACTCACACTTCAATTCATTATTGTCAAACAATTGCATTTTTCACTATAAAATCAATACACTAAAATATACCTTACCTTGCAAGGTACTGTGTGGGGCTGACCGATCTTGTTTCCCCAATAACCACGTCTGACTGGAATAACAGACAGCTTTGCCAGAATGATTGCACCTCTGATGGCTGTTGCCACTTCTTTGGAGCATTTCACTCCAAGGCCAACATGTCCCTTGTGGTCTCCAATAGCAACAAAGGCCTAAGAAAAAACATTTAAAAAAATACATAATGAGGGACAGTAGTGGATTATCTTCCCTTCATAAAAACCGACGTTAACCAAAATGTAAGTAGGTCCAAATATTTGGAATCCTTTGCTTTTATCATTGAGTTCTATGTAAGACAGGTTGATATGTCTTAATGAATTATTTCCACATGCAACAACAAATATGTAAACCTTAAGAAAAATATGTTTAATTTATGTCAACAGATTCTACATCTTATCTCAAATTCTAATCTGAATATTACAAATGATCATAATTAGCCCTAATTAATTTAGTCTGCTACAAAGAAATAGGCGATAAAGTCCGAGTAATCCAATAGCTTAGGACCTATCTATTTATAGGGAGTACTCAGGGGAGGCTATTCACTACTGTCCCTCATTGTCAATGTCAGTTTTTAAGTGGCTGGCAGGTCACAATGACATCCAATAACTTGGAAAAGATGCTTTGCCTTTATTGTGAGACCTGCTCTTGAGATTGAGCTTTCGGTCTCAATCTTTTGAATATTTTAAACACATAATATGTACAACATTACAAAGAACTTGGAGAGTACTACCTTATACATAAATTGTCACTAGGCAAACAATGTAATGGAATAGGGCCGATTTTTGCCGAATATTTCGGTGAAACAAAAACCCTGAATTACAATCAAAGTATTTCCTTAAAAAATATCTATGCCTTTAGGTACACTGGTCATTGCAACAATTGTTAACTCCTTTACCTTGAACCTAGTTCTCTGTCCAGCACGTGTCTGTTTCTGCACAGGCATGATCTTCAATACCTCATCCTTCAAAGATGGCCCAAGGAAGTAGTCAATGATTTCAAACTCCTGAAAAGGAAAATTTCAAGATTTTGAGCAAAATGGACATGGTCCCCCGACTCTTAAAACTATATTTTTGCTATCAATTATTTGCACAAGTCAATTGACAGCAATAGGCATATAATTATGCCCTCTGGCACGATTCTCTTGATTTGTTGTAGACTTGCTTGCGAAATGAATTAAGCTCACATTACAAGCACAAATCGTCACATTAGTGCAATAACTGAATAAATAACTCTTCTTGAAATTTAGGACTTAACCCGTTACAACACTAAAGTGACGAAATATGCTTTATAAATGCCAAATTCTAAAGACATTCAATCTGGTAGATAATTTGACAATGACAATACAGCTAAAGCAAACAAAGAAATCCTTGTAGTTTGCTTGAAGCACCTAGAATTACTGCAAACTCAAAGTAACAATAGAAATTGATCACACATTACTGTTTTTACTTGATAATTTCTGATGACTTGCAATGGCTTTTTCCAAGATATATAATTGGAATTCTATAGTCTAGAAATTAAAAAAAAATACCTTGATGGGCAGGGAGAACAAATAGATCTCCTCTAGAGATTTGATCTTCATATCTTTGACAAGTCTTCCAAGTTTGGTTACTGGCATCCATTCCTTGTCACCGTCTTTTTGACCCCTTCCTCTGCCCCTTCCACGTCCACGGCCCCTTCCTCGGCCACGTCCTCTACCTCGGTCTCCAGATCCAAAACCTCCACGGAATCCTCCTCGTCCACCGGCTGGTGCTGCGTCCGCCATTGCTAAAATATAAATGAAGTGCATTTGCATATCATGTGTTTAAACATAGCATCACAAGTTGTAACAAACCAATTTTAAAATGTACAATTTCCCCTCTTACTTCTCTACTAGATATGGATACATTTTGATAATCTTCAAACAATAGTTCCAGACCGGACACAGATAAAACATTCCACTTGAACGCTCATATTTACAAGTAGAGATCAATGCAGGCCGCGTACATAATCATAGATTGCTAGTTTGTTGGGACAAGCGAAATTTGCTAATGTAATAGGTAGTCCAATATATTAGACGTTACAGGCTTGTTATAGTTTTTGTCGGTCAAGCCTGACGTCTAATAGTTATTGCTCAAAAACGCATAGCATCATAAAAAATTCCAAAAATGTCTATTGTCCTGCCTTTCAAGCTTTATTCAAAAGCTTATCATATTTTCTTTCAATTTCATGCTCAATCATGCACAAAAACTGTCAAACCAGTCTTCGAAATTAACGCCAGTCCGAGGACACTAAATTAAGCATCGGTCCAGTGATTATTGCAAGGTCGGTGGTCCGACGGACCAGTAGATTTTTTGTCATGAAAAAATATTGTAAGAAAAATTCATCAAAATAATGAAGCAGGGTTCTCTAAAAGATTGATCTTTTTGCCTTTTTTTGCAAATGAAACCCATCAATTCTGTCCTAAATGTTCAAAACACAGCGAGAGATGTCTAAATTGTATCCAGTAATGGAGGCCGCCATTTTTTTCTTGGATATTTTCCGTACCGCACCGTACAGTTACGGAAATTAAACCATTGTTTATTATGTTCATTATTTAGCTATGATTTTGTGATTATTGATTTAAGTAAATATTTTGTGTGAAAGTGATTTGTTTGAAGCAAATTGCGTTGTTCATGTTCAATTCAGTCAATTTTGCCTAAACATTTAGTCCTTAAAGATTTTTCAAAGCTGTCAACATAAGGCCCAGAATACAAGACGTATTATGCTTCTTTCAAAATTATCAAGGGAAGCATGATAAAGTGTTTTCCTGTTCCCATCAATTTATTACCTATCTATGTATTTGGTCCGGCTAAAAATCACCAGGTCCAGTAAGATTTGATATTTTACTGGCCATAATGTCCTGTGCTTTTTAAAGTTTTTCGTGAAGACTGTCAAACGATGTATTTATCAATTTAAAATAAAATGTAAACATCAATCTATTTTTGTCTATCAGCCATACAGGTTAAGCAAGGTGATTTACAGACTGATTCCAAATTTTTGAACGGAAAAATATATTCGAACACACTGACGGTGCATGGGCAATTATTTCGTTCACAAAATATTCCGTTAGATTGTTCTGACTCAGTTAAACGCTTGCATTTGAATTAGCCAATCAGATTTCGCGCACTTTACGGCCGCCATTTGTTTATCGGCTGTAAAATGAATTGAAATACATGAGAGGATTTAATCATGATTTTTCGGATGTGACAGTTTAATTATTTTGACAAAAGGTATTTATTTTATAGTTTTGTTCATAAATAGGTCAAAAAATATGTAAATACACGCTATCTTCATTGTTTTTCGTTCCACCCGATTTTCTGGCGGAACATGCTATGGGTTTTTGAGCAATTTCGATATGACGTTGCTTTGACCAGAAGCAAAAATATCTCAAAGCGACGTCATATTTATAGGACCAACGTAATAGGAAGCTAGAATTCATTAATTAGGCCTGTAAAAATGAGTACTAGTAACAGAACAAAAGTATTCTTAAAGAATTTACTTAAAAAGTCTTTTTAACACTTAAATTATTCAAAATTAGCGAATGACTTAAGCAATTAGGGAACAGTAAACATGCCGAAATTTCAATCTTTGAGAGAAACAGTTGCTACACACTATGCTTATTAAAAAAAAATATAAGAATCTATCATATATCTGTATCTGAAATTATGGTACGCTGCAGGGCCTTTCAGTTTTTTTTAACGCTGCACTGCCAATTTTAAAGCATCGAGTGATTTATAATCTGATTTTCAATGTTTTCTGGGGCACAATTCTTAGGTTTCAGTCTGCGTTTGTTTGCTCGGACTGGTGGCAAGAAGTCTTGGCAAGGTAAGGTAGGCACCAGCCCCCCAACCACCTTAGAAACATTAGTCTGATGACTTTCCTCCGGTCCTGGAGTGAAGCTAGTTTCAAGTCACAATCACCGTTATTATAGAGAAATATTGATTTTTTAAATTAAAGAAGAGCTTGATTTAATAAAAAATATTAAAATGACTCAAAATAAATGACAGATTCGGTAAAATTTAGACGATTTCTATCACATCTTAAAATGTGTGGCCGACTTACGTGATATCTTTCCGGAAAAGGCCGAAACAGGAACCGGAAAATGTTTAAGTTATTTTTGAAAAGTATTATTTTCGCGAAAAGGTCACTCTTTTGATGCGAATTATAACATGGCAGTGTGATGCTTCGCACAACAACATTGAATATTTCATATCAATTTCTTTAAAACATATAATAATGATACAATAATAATAATTATAAAAATAATATTAATAATAATAATAATTATCATAACAGAAACTTTAATTACTGTACTGAGTACAGATAATAATTATAATAATAATAATAAAAATTAAGAGTACTGTATAATTATATTTACATGGATTTATATGTAATATAAATCCGTGGTAATTATAACTTGGGAATTAGAATTTTTAGATATGGCTTACATGAAACTAAAGCTTGGTCTCTTCTCTCTTCCCCTCGGTACGTGTACGTCGTAGAGAAGACACAGGGCATCGGCAGAAGATTTGAAGACTGGGGACGGCGAAAAAAGAAATGAACTTGTGCTGCAGACCAGCTGCCGATGTCCTAACTAAAGCCGAAGGGAGTTGTCCTACAAAATAGGCTTTTGGTCGAAGAGATGGATATGCAAGGGTGCGTTAGCCCCTAGCATGGTTAGACGGCTTGAACGGCAGGGCTTTTGCTGGCACCAATAACCCTTGTAAGGGCTACCCTTTCATATTGTCTCAGGTTACAGTACATTTAGGTTCTCATCGATCATACAGTGGCCTACTTTTGGCTCAAAATTCATATCTTTGGCTAATACACCGTGAAAATTGCATGGAGATAAATTATCACCACTTTGTGCTTCAAAATAAACATTTTAAGGGCATGACTGGTGACATGTCCGGGGTCCATACTCGACAGCGAAAGCTGCATTTTGTGCATGATGGATCCTCATTAACCATAATACCAATATTCAAAAAAGAGAACACATCTGATGCAAATAACTATCGTCCTATTTCCATTCTCCCTGTTCTTTCCAAAGTACTAGAAAAACATGTCAGTAATCACCTTAAAAAATTTCTTGAAACACATTCGTTATTGCATAAGACTCAGTCAGGTTTCCGTTCAAATCATTCATGTAAAAAGCATTAACATCTATCATTGACACTTGGATTTCTGCAATCAATGACAACAAACTTGTAGGCACTGTTTTTCTTGATCTAACTAAGGCATTTGATTTACTTAATCATTCTCTCTTAATGATGACACAATATCAGTTTGCAGGGGAAACACTTAACTGGTTTAAATCTTATCTCTCAAACAGAATACAACAGGTCTCAATCTGTGGCAAATTATCAAGTGCCAAAGAAATATCATATGGAGTCCCTCAGGGATCCATATATAACTCATGGACTGTGTTTTTTGTTTTATTTATATGTGACTTTTTTTCCGGCACTTGTTTTCATTTTTTGTATATATATATATATATATATATATATATATATATATATATATATATATATATATATATATATATATATATATATATATATATTATATATATATATATATATAAATGCTTTGCCTTTAAAATAGAGAAAAAAGAATCCCTAAAGAACGTTCAAAACGACAAAATTGAAAATGTTGCATGCTCAGTTTGATTGAGCCTGTACGGTAAGTGAATGTGCAAGTTACCATCCACGCCCATAGCACCGGCTTAAGCAGTATTCACATGAATTGGTAAAATTTGGAATTTTGACACATCCGCAGATGTGTTCACATGGCGGTTATCATGGAACCTTCAATGTGACACGTAAGTATCATTCCATGAAAAGTGGCATAAAGTCCACAAGTAAAAAATGCGTTTACCCTCATCAAGAAGAAAAAATGGGCGGAACTAATGAAATGGAATTTTGAAAGGGGATCGGAGGTTATGAAGCCTGCATATCACAGATAATTCGTCAAAAGACAAATTTAAAAAGCAGGCCACATATCCTAAGGGTGATTATACAGTATTTAAGTAGGAATACTGGAACCACCCAAGTTGAAAAAGGCCAAATAGAAGAAACTAAAAATACCACATAACATGTATTAACAACAATTATGTCGTGCTGAACGATCTTCAAGGATCGAAAATATAACATCTTTGATTAAATGTACGGGGAGACTTTTTACGGCCGCCACACGGCACAAATAACACTGATGTGATCATAAAATAGAGAAAAAAGAATCCCTAAAGAAAGCCCAACACGGCAAAATTGAAAATGTTGCAGGCTCGGTTTGATTGAGCCTGTTCATGGACGGTACTGGAAAGTGCAAGTTACCGTCCACGCCCCCTAGCACCGGCTTAAGCAGAATTCAACATTCAACACGAACTGGTACAATTTGGAATTTTGAAACATCCGCAGATGTGTTCATATGACGGTTATCATTACGGTTATCTAAACCTTCAAAATACATCTACTGACATGTTTGCAGATGATACAACTATCACCTCATTTGGATCACCTATTGACTCAGTTTACAGATCACTACAAAATAGCATTGACATCATCTACCACTGGTGTGCAAGAAACTCTATGCTACCAAATCCTCAAAAAACAAAAGCAATGATAATCTCCCCATCACATATTATTTACAACACAGTTAAATCAAGCAATGACTACATTTTGAAAATGCAGGAAAATGACATTTAATTTACTTACTCTGAAAAATTACTAGGAATTCATGTGGATCATAGATTATCTTGGAACTGTCAACTTGAACAGCTGATTAAAAAATGCAATTCATTACTGTATCTTCTACTTCGTATTAAACAATACCTAAACAAACAAATGATAATAGTTTTTATAATGCATACATATAGCCACACCTAGATTACTGCTGCACTATTTGGGGAAATTGTAATGATGAATTACTGCACAGCTTATACACATTTCAGAAGAGAGCCGCCCGTATTATACTTGATGCAGACATTGATACACCCTCAGATATATTGTTTCAGGAATTGAATTTGTTAAAAATACATGACCGCATACATTATAAAAAGGTAATTCTTGTTTATAAATCCATTAACAATCTATTGCCACATTATATGTCTAATTTATTTCACATACAAATCACACAACTCTGAGATCACACACTCAACAGAAACTGCATACACCCAAACCTAGATTAGAATTTTGCAGAAAAGCTTTTGCATACTCTGGGCCTAAAATCTGGAACAAATTACTATTACATAACAGGCAATCAAACAGTCTTGCACAATTAAAAAAACATACTTAACATGGTAGTTCTCTGGTGGAAACCTCTGCTTAGATGCTATATAAATATTTGTTATTATATTCGTTTAAATATGTTTGTTTTATATACATGTATATGTTAATTTTCACTTTGATAACATCCAATTCAATGTTGAATGTCTGTATATATTATCAACTCATGTCATTTGTTTGTTCAAGGTTAATCTCACATATTTCAATGTTAAATGTATAATAATGAAATCAACTTATGTAATTATTTAATCTTTTATTGATGAATTGTATTTTATAAATTGTTTTGTACATTGTTGAGGCTCACAGGGAAGATTGGGCTTGCCCAACTGTGTTGCTTCATTAAATAAAGTCGTTACTTACTTACTTACTTACTTACTTACTTACTTAAACTACATACATACAACTAGAGCTGTTGGGAGAATTTCTGTCATAGAGAATTGGATATCCTATTCAGGGCGCGTTGATAGAACGTAGACAGACGTTCCGCCAGTATTTTGAAAGATTATGATCATTATTAAATTAAACAAGGAGAATAATGTGACATTTTCGGCAGTATATCTGTATACAGTAACAGGTCCTAGGTACACCAGGAGAACATAACCTAATTGCATAACATTACTGTTTTCTAACGGATTTATTCTTTTTATATCCCTAAATCCAAGTTCATCCTTTCATGCGAAATAAAATTCAGAGGCAAAGTTTGTACATTATATTTCATTTTCCTTTCAAATTTCCTTTCAACACTATTTTTAAATATCAGAGAATTTGTTACAGGTAGCCAACACAGTTTTATATATATCATAGATAAGCACAGATTTTTTATTTTAATATTTGGCAAAGACTTTATCAAAATATATTTCTAATTACCTCCCTCTATTAACATGTACTATTAATATTGGTCATATCTTGATTACATATGCTTTTCGTAACTTAAAATATTGATAATTCGTCATTTAAGCATAAGGTTGAGGTTTAGTGACTTTAAGAATTCCACCTATTTCAATATTTAAGTTTCCTTTAAATAATTTCGTGGAATGTTCTCATTTTATTGTATGAGTTTTTTTTTTTTTTGTTATGGTTATAGGCTAAGTCTAACGCACAAGCAAGTTATTGTAAATTTAAGTTTCGGGTTAAACAAAATATAAGGAAAGGAAAACTTTATTTGACCACTAATGCCATGGCAAAATTAAAACTGTTTGATAAAATTTCTTTATACTTGGCATGTTGTGAGAATATAATAACAGAAACACTTTTTAAAAGCGGAAAAAATTGGGGTTAACGTTCTCATTTTTGAGTTATCTGCCCTTGAATTAGACATTTTTTGCTAAATTCAAGGGCAGATAATTTACATTGAAGTGAAACAATACCTCATTTTTTTCTAATTTTCGCGATTTTGAATAAGTAAAGTAGTTAAACATAACTTAAGCTCACCAATCATCGTCCAAATGAACATATTTATGGACAAATACGTTATACGGGTTTATAAATAAATACGGACAATGTCATTCACCATCAAATTATCTCTTAAAAATCAGAATTTGGATAAGATATGTGCAACATGCTCGCATTGCTTTTATTGCAATAAATTTGCCTAATCAATTGAACAGACACAATTTTCTTAAACCGACCACTAGCCCCGAGTGCCCAATCTGAATATATATTCAATATTTTAAGCTTATTAGTTTTGTGTTATTTATTTATTTATTTATTGTCTATGGACACAGAGTGATTGGAATTAGCATAAATCAGCTATGGAACCTCAAAATTTCAATGTAATATTCCAGAACCTACATTTTATGCGCAACTTGATTTTGTTTGTGTCGATAGTGGAGATAATCGACAAAGCAGTTTTGAGTTTAGCTATCTAGTTATGCTTTTAAATTAATTTCTATACCACAATATCTTATATTTTATCACTGAATAATTTTCAATAATAATAATTCGTTAATAAGAAAAATGCAATGAATAAAAATTAATGAAATTTCGGAATGAAAATCTTTTCAGTATTTAGTTGACAGTAAAGCCGATGAATCTCTTCTATCTGATGTTGTAATCAAGCACGGTCAATTTTGGATTTTGACAGCAGTGATGCTGAGTCTGTCTAAAATGAAAGATATTGTTGTTTAAACCATAACAATAACACGCGAGTAGGTGCTGCTATAGTTATTTCCGTAAATCTTACTTTGAATTTAGTTTCTTCGATTGAGATATTTAAAAAATGTCAACAGTTATTGTCAGAATTTCTGTCAGCTTGAACTGTTGAACTGTTGAAGTTGAAAGTTGCATTTTCTGTTTGATAATTTTCTTAGTACCGTAGTAAAGAAAATTGCTGTTTTATAACTTCTTTGTCTCAAAGATTTACAAATATCAAAGCAATTTGACATTGTCAGAATATAAATATAAACTAATATTGTAATTTTTGTATGCTTTTTTAAAAATGGTTTAACATTTTAAATGAGAAATTAATTTCCTTCTCATATGTAATGTGGATTATGCCCCCTCTCATCATGTATTGTGGTCAACAGTTAGGCCTAACCACTTTATTTTCAGTCAACAATTGACCTTGACACATGTTGATTTACCAATTAAGAAAACAATAGCAATAGTCAATACAGGGGCCATCTCAAAAGTCAAATTCAAAATTAGCTGTCAATAGCAGTTTTCATATTTTTTTGGGCTATATCCTGGAATAGACCCCAGGGTTTAAACCAGGAGTATATATAAGACTCATTCCGATTTCTTTACTTAAGTGAATTATATACAAATTTTACTTCTGAAATATACATGGGGATCTATCCAGGAAATTGCCCAAAGAAGTAACTGAATATTAAATTGTCATTAGAATTGTCATCAATTTACTTGGTGCAAAGCATAATTAACCATATTGAAATCAGATTACAAATATTGATGATACCTGATATATCAATAATTACTTATAATTATTCTGTTCATACAATGATTTTTTCTTACTATTTTTTTTGTCATCACTGCCATGAAATATGTCCATTATGCAATGACAGCATTGTTTTAGACAATATACATCTCCTTCTATATATATTTTCGGTGAATTTTCATAATTTCTAGACATTTAATTAATCAGTCAAAATTATAAATTTTTTCAAATTATTATTATTAGTATTATTTTTACACGATTATTGGTCATTGGAAAACTTTTTATGATTCATCAATTTTGTTTTGCTGACAGATCTTATTGTCATCAGCTTGAATTATTTTCTACTGCAAAATGTTTATGACATAGGAAACAACAAATATTCAATCAAAAGTAGATTAATGGCTATACTAGTGAGTTATTGTATATACCATTCCTTTGACTTTTCTTGTAACTATACATCTTACTGCAGTGTTTAATACTAAACTGAGGTGCAATTTGAATTTCAGAAATATGGCAATGTCAGCTGAAGGATTTTCCTCCATGCAAGAGTGTGAGGTTAGTACACTGTAATGTTGAGTTATTTGTAGATCTTTATTTTTTTATCCCTCAACCTGTTTGAACTGTCTGAAAATAATTAGCCTTTGCCATCAGAATAGAGTCAGGCCTGCATGCATGTTTGTGCAGTGGTGACTGGGGTTTAGGCTGTTGCCAAACTTCAAAAATTAATCTTTATATATTCATATTAATGAAAATTCTAAATACATGTACAGTATTCTTAACATGGAAGCTTATTCTTAACATTAAAAATGGAACAGGTCAAGAGTTAATGGCTGTTACATAAAAAAGTAGAAACCTTAGTTATAAAAAAATATGTTGAACATTTAAATTTGTCTTACATCTATAAGACAGAAGAAAGGGCAGTTTTGAGCATTTAATTACCAAGAAAGCATTTGAAAGTTAAATGAGTAAAATCAGTTTCATATTTTTACCTAGGAACCTTATAACAAACTTGATTTGAATTTGCCATTGATAACTATAATTTTGTTTTATTTCAGAGAGAACCATTACATTTCCATATATCAGTAGACAAAGAATCGCAGGAAGTCAAAGATGTCATGCTTCACATCAAGCAGGTTTGTTGTTTTAGAATTATAATGTGAAAATGTCATCACTGAATATGTCTTGTGACCATATTTTAATGCTCATTTTTCTATGAATACAGGGGTGGTTTATATTCTTTTTGTCCTGTTTGTTTGTCTATGAATATCTGGAACCTTGACCATAATCGCATTATTAACATCTATAATGCTATAAGTTAGAGCTTCAAGAGCTTTATTTTGTACAAATTGATATATGACCTTGACATTTAAATGACTGAACCTCAGGGTCAAATTTTTAAATTACAGGAAATTTAATTGTAAGTTTGATACTTATTTCCATTTTTCAAAGGGGGGCATCTGTATGTTTTTAATTCATTCATTAATTAAATTGTCCTTTCTTTTCTATATGACCTACTTTTATGACATGAGAAACTTATGTCATGTTATTAACTATGATATCATATTGTAGTTTTGTCCATCCATATTTTGTTTGCATTGGGGTTATTCTACTCACCTTTGCTTTGAGGTAACACATCTGTTAAAACTGTACTCATACATTCACTTAGAATTTTATACCAGGATCGTTTTTGTAATAAAGGTCACAAAGACCCAGCATGGATTTTTATTGATTTATACCCCTTTATGAACTTAAGATCTTAACAACCACTTAAATATTGACTTGAGACAAGATCCATAACTAGTTTGTTTTTCCATTTAGTGAACCCCTTTGTGAAAAAATCCTGGTCATTGTTATGAATGCAAGATAAGATCTATCTCCACAGTCACTAAAGGTAGCCCCTTAAAACTTCACACATCATTCTGAGTTATTGATTTAAAACACTACCAGTAATGAAGACCCATATCTCAAATTCTCAATTATTGATTTTCACTCAATTAATTCCCTATGTTATCTTTGAAAATCCTGCTGTTGTTTTACTATGAAGCTCTGAAAATAGTTCATACACTGTCTGGTGTTCATTTTGGGTCAAGAAACCTTTATAAGGAAAACTTTTTATAAATTTAAGCTATAAGGAAACAAAGTTCCTCAGGTATCCATAAGATAGGCTGAACAACTCAAAAGATATGTCCCTTTGTATACATGAACATTTTCTCCATTATCTGAAACTCAACTCTTTAGATGATAAATGTTCTTAATTTGTTAAATGTTTTAAAAATTCAAAAATATTTATAGCAATATTTGATGCCTTCCAGTGGCTGAGGTATATAATTCAGAATCCTACATAAAATGATGAAATGCACATTTGTTTTGTGATTCATCTTATACTAAGAAAATTATAATTTTCAACAACATTTGGGAAACAGAATTTAACAATATATTGAAATACAATTGCTCAGATTTAAAGGAGAAATTAAAGAACATCATGTGTTTTTTCCCATTTCATGGACATCATATTTTATAGACGGTTTATTGTTCTGCATTTGAAAATTGTATATTTGTTAGATACTTGGTTATTTTAACATACATAGAGGATATTCAAGTTTCTTCTTTAAATACAGGATTTATTTTCATCGGGTTATTAAAATAAATATTTCACGAGTGGCAGCAGCCATGAGTGAAATATAGTAATTTTCATACCACAAGATGAAAATAAATATGTATTAGTAGAAGAAACTTGAATTTTGTTTATTATATACTTCTTCTCTTTTTATAACTTTATGAATTGGAAGAATTCCCTTTTAATTTTGTGTATTGGCTGAATTTAGAAGAAAGTAGTCCGGCAAGACGCCAGTGAAAATACGGAAAATATGTTTCACTGCTGTGGAAAATAAATTTTTACAGTGAAAATACGGAAAATAAAAATACGCATTTTATTTCATCAATATTTCATTTATAAGTATATAATAAATGTATTTATTCTTGGATCAGTTTATGTTTTTAACCATTACCTGGTGAATATAAGATATGAACTAAATGTCTTCCAATCAATATTAGGAAATTTTATGTCAAAATCTCTTAAATGATAAGTTTAAGATGTCAAGAGCATGGTCAGACTGCACAGATTTACAGATTGGTCTTTATATTGGTGGCAAAGAAAAGCAGGGTTATAAGGCTAAGGGTTATAAATAAAAAAGTATAAATTATTGAAAAAATGTGCAGTGATCTATTCTTATAAAAACAGATATACATTATACATGTACATAATGATACAATGAGTTCTGCTGAGCATACAGTGTATATGAATGCCCTAGACTTTCCATAGTGATTTAATTACTAACATGTATCTTCTTTTATCTTAGCTAATATCTAGTTACATCTAAGGAGCACTTGTCAGGTTGTTTGGTTAGCATGTAAAAGTTTATTGTTTCTTGACAATTTTTCTTCAGATGCCATTAGTATTGTGTTTATGTTCAAGTGACTTAGTGTACAGTACTGTTTTCTGTCTGTCTGTCTAATAATGCCAATTTTCCAATTCCAGTTTTGTCTGTTCTGGTTGAACTTTTTTCCCTGATAACAGCAAAACACTTTTTGTGACTTCATTGCACATGTCCCAGTAAATAAAGAATATACTTGAGAAGTCTTTGAAACAATTTGTCCAACTTAAAATGAAGATAAAAATTGTTTTGTAAAATATTTTGCAATTTTTGAAAGTGTGCAACAGGATTTGTACTAGCTGAAATGATTAAAGGTCAAATGTGTTCATACAATATGTAGGAACATTCCTGCTAATAGATGCCACAAGTATTTGAATTTGTGAGTTATACAAATTATATACAAATTAATAAGCCATTTTGGTGCCAGAACTGTAATTGTATAATTATATAGTTTGTGAAGGCAATCCAGATTTACAATGAAAAGCAAAATGATTTTATGTTATTCCAAATATTTTCTTGGAGAAAAGAATAAAGTTATACAAATGTAATTTTATATTTAGAAATTGAGTACTTATGTGTGAGGAAATATATGCTTTGAGTGATCCAGAAGTACTTGAGGTGTCAAGTTGTTCAGATAACACATTTGTTTTAAATGAAGGCTTTAATATTTTCAATTATTATATGATCTAAATATAGCTGCAATCTCATTGGTCCAAACAGTAGTCAACAGAACTTTTTATAAAATCATATTTACTGGGTGTAGTATCATATTCACTGGCAGAATTGGATTTTCCCAGTCTAAAAATAGATTGAGACTCATATTCAATGATCATACGCCGTAGACTGTTATTAACGCGTGTTAATTAAAAAATAATTGTTGCGTTTTGTTCTTTATGGCATATTTCTCGATAAAAATATCAATACTTTACCATTTTACTTAAAGGCTACACCTCAATGATGTGTATAAACTTGAATTACTTTTGTATGCGCAGTGTTCGCGAAGTCGTTGCAATCCTAACACGTGCGTCTTTTTCCCCGCGCTTCAACGAGGCAAAATTTGTACATGTATATAAGGCTGTATTTTTGTGATTTTTTTTTATTTCTTAGCCTATTCATATAATAAAACATTTATTGACTAGTAAGCCATTGAATATGATGTGATATTCACCGGCAGAAAGTCATATTGACCTTGGCTATTGCCTCTGTCAATATGTCATCTGCCGGTGAATATCACATCATATTCAATGGCTCACTAGTCAATAATTGTATAATAATCTTCTCTGATGTTATTCTAATATGTTTGTGTATTGTTGTGAAATAATCAATTCAAATTTTTCATGTTTTCTGTCTTTCTGCAACCAGTTTTTAATGTCATTCTGTTGTCGAGAAAACTATAGCAAGTTGTGAGACAATAGTTTATTGTTGTGGAAAGAAAAGTCGCCAGTTACTTTGACATTATGTTAAATGTATTTGAATGCTACAGACAAAAAGGTCACTGACAACATATTGAAAAAAATGACGGATTTAACAAGGTGATTCTGATTGCCTACACTTAAACTGAAGTTTATTGTGCCTGTGGTATTTCTAAGAATTACAGAAATTAACTACAACAGATGGATGCTTTTTATTCACTTACTTGTATAAAATATGTATAATCAATACTTTAGTTTAAAAAAAGGAACAAAGATTAGATAAAATGAATTTTTCCAATCTCAAACCAAAAAAATGATGAAAATACCATCAGAAAAAAATGAATGAATCAAATAAATTATTTCATATTCCATATCTTGTTGGAATGTTGGCAGATAGATGGCACTGTGAGTGTGTATACTTGTTTTGTAGGTTGCAAACGGGTTAATTTCAAGTCATCCAAAAGTAAGATCTAGTCAAATTTTATCTTTACCTTACTAAATATCCGAAATGGACATGTGATAGACATAGTGCAATGTGGACAAAACCATTCATCATATTTAGGAAAAAATTTCAAAATAAATACTGTCTTGGTTGTCAAAATATATTCATGTGCCAAAGCTAGATAATCTGAGATATTTTTGTGTTGGGTCAGAATCTCATAGAAGCGAGATGTTGCCCAGACACAAATATAGCACAATATCTCATCGCACTATGATCAAAAGCACAGTCCTTTGTGTCGGCTAAAAGTTAAGTCCTGTGGTAATCCAGTGTTTTTTTTCTTTGACAGAAAAGACCACATTTTTAAAGGCATTTTGTCCTAGCTATTTGTTGATACTTTAAGCACTTTTGAAGTAACCTTGATGTGATGGGGAAAAAAGTAAAAAAAATCCTTTATCCAATCCAGCGCCCCTCAAAAAAAATAAAATAATGAAAATAAAGATAAAAATAAAAAATGAACGCAGTAAAACAGGGATCTGTATTAGATATTGTATTCGATAAAGTCTAGTATCTACCATAATACCTTTGTATTTGAAATATTATCAGGATCGCTAGAGGCTCACTTATCAACAATTTCCTGGTTTTGGCTTAAACGTTTTTATTATTTGATAGGAAAATATCAATTTTATTTCATATGTGTTTATTATAGAAAGTCATTTTTTATTTTTTTTCACCTGTAGGAATTCATGAGAAACATTTTACATATGATATTTACATTAATTCTGATAAATGTTATAAAAGTATAAGTACTCACACATTCCACTGACAGTGCATTTAGTATAACAGAT